GGAGGACCCCAGGTCGGGAAGGAGCCCAGGGAAAAGTGGCCTGGGGGAAAGCTGAGCACAGGGGGGGAAAAGTGGCCCCTCCCCCACCCCGTGGCCGGTGCCTCATGCTGCAGCCACTCTCAGCCCATGTGGGGCTGCCTGTGCCTGCTCCAAACAGCCCCGCGTGGGCTGCAAGTGCCTGCAGCAGGGAGCACTGGTCACAGGGTGGGCGAGAGGTCGCTTTTCCCCTCCCATGCTCAGCTTTTCCCCAGGCTCCTTCCTGGAGCGGGAAAAAGAGGCCTGTCCCCTGCCCCATGGCCGGCACCCTGTGCTGCAGGCACTCGCAACCCATGTAGAACTGCCTGTGTCTCCTCCAAACAGCCATGCTTGGGCTGAGAGCACCTGCAGTGCAGGGCACTGGCCACAGGGCAGGCAAGGGGCTACTCCTCCCCACCCCACGCTCAGCAACACCTTGTAACCTGGCCCCACTGTCATCCTGGGCTCCGCACCAGCTCCAGGCTTGCCCCTCAGGGATGCATATGGAGACAGCAGCTGCAGCCCCCCCTGCTTGCTGCACTGGGCAGTATTTGCCACTGCTGCCTCTGGGCTGCCCAGCACGTGAGCTCCGGGCAGCCAGCAACAGCCAACACTGCCCAGCATGGCAAGTGGGGGGGCCGTAGCTGCTGCCGCTGATGGGCGAGCCCGGAGCTGGCGTGGCGCAGAGGCTGGCAGCAGGGCCAGGTTACAAGCTGGTGCTGAGTGCAGGGAAAAGCGGCCCCTCGCTCACCCCATGGCAGCACCCTGCACTGTAGCCGCTTGCAGCCTATGTGGGGCTGCCTGTGCCTGCTCCAGACAGCCTTGTGTGGGCTGCAAGCACCTGCAGCAGGGAGCGCTGGCCATGGGGCAGGCAAGGGGCCGCTTTTCCCCACACTCAGCACCAGCTTCTTCCTTGCTGGCGAGCAGAGGGTCGGGGCTGTGTGCTGCCCCCCGCCTGTACCACGGGGCTGGGGAGTGAGCAGGTGTGCAGGTGTGGGAACCAGCAGGAGCATGGGGCCTGCACCGGTGTCCTGGGGCCAGTGCTGGTGTGGCCCAGAGCAGGGTGCCAGGAAAACGAGGTCCTGGCCTGCAGGGGCTCTATGGAACCAGGCCAGCTCCCCCCTCTTCCTGCTGGTGCAGCCCAGCCCAGCTCCACAGACCCCTGCCAGCCTGTGCCCTGCTTTGGGCCTCACCAGTGCTGGCCCTGGGACATTGGTCCCAAGATGGTGACTAGGGGGCGGGGCACCTGTCAAGGGGTGGGGCTACCCATGCAGT